TTCTTTGCTATTTCCTCCGATCTGCTTGTGACGATGACTGCTCCGCCATATCCTTTTGGCAAAGCGTACGCAAGGTGTTCGACGAATTTACCAGCCTGAGTTGTTTTAGGATTCAACTGTTTAAAGAACGTGTCGGGGTTCCAAGCATCGTCGAGGACAATCAGGTACCTCTTACCCCTCAACTGTACTCGAAGAGCACAGAGTAGCCCAGAAAGGCCATGACTCTCTGCAGAATTGATGATTTCATTTTCAACTCCAAGAGAAACTAACATTCTTCTGACGATCTCTTTGCTGTTGTTGTCAGGATCGTCATCGGATTGTTTTGACATACAGATCCATATCCTTGGAAGAAAGTTATCCTTCACCAGTTGCCGGGTGAGAAGAAATTGGCAAAGTGTTGTTTTTCCAATACCCGCCATCCCAACAATCCCAATCGCCTTGAAGTGATCGTTTCTCTCTCCTCGGACAAGCAATCTCTCCAGGGTCATTGCTTCATCCTCTAGCCCGTGAACCTTTTCTGGATCTACGTATCGAGAACTCCATCGGTCAGGTACCTTTGGCAAACTCGGTTGTCCATTGACTTCCGTACCTCTCTCTGAAACTCCATTGACATTTTTCTTTTCGAGATCTGCTTTGATCTGTTTTAATCTCCTACCGAGTTCATAAGAATGTAGTGCCTCAGGATTGCATGAACCCTGCTTCTTTGATATCATCTGCCATTCTGTTAATACATTATTGAGCTGGTAGAGTTTTTCCCTGCGTTTCTGTTCATCTGCTGTCAGGGTGGACTCTTCTTTTTTCTCAAGCAAGTCCTTCAATTCTTTGAAGTCAGAGTGCAGATGAAACATTTTGGCCCATAGATTCTGTTTATTGGACGATTGGTCGTTGAGTGCTTCATCGAGTTTTTCCAGCAGGTATTTTTCAATCTCACCACCCATTTCAGGACTCTCTAAGTTCCTCCTTAGTTATCCTCTGAAAGTTATGAAAAACAAGTTGTTTGTAAGGATTTTCAGGCCTTGATTATGTTCCTGTTGAAAATCTGAGGAAATGGATGAATGCCAGATCCTTGAAAGGACGACGACGACTTCGCTGGAAGACCAAATAGGGAAAAGATAAAGGTTAAATAGGCTTGACTTGCTCAGGTCTCGCACATGGCAGTCTTATTATCTATGTCAAAATTAGAGTATTCATAAAAATAAATTTATCTTAATTTAATGTTAAATAATTATCAAAATTTAAACTTAACACGTATGAATTTATAACTTTTAAAGTTGTCTTTTATTCTCTTATCAAGTCATTATGGGGAGTTATTTATCATTCCGACAAATCATCTATATTGGAACTAAAGTATTCATGAGAGATAAATTTTTCATAATCTAATTTTAAGAATTACCAAGATTCAAATTCAGAATGTCTGAATTTACATTTTGTGTCATTGTTTTCGCTTAAACTAACCATTGGAGTTATTTCATCCATTTAGAAGAGGGTTTTCTGTGGTAAATATTTCTTTTGGTTGTACAAAGGTAAATTCATGATAGGAGAAAGCCCTTCTGGTATCCTTACTTCAACATTGATTTGTATTTGGGTATTGTCTAGGTTTTGCTCATTAGCTTCAATCATTTTCACCTCTTTTATAGAATTATATTCAGAATCATAACCCAGCTGGCTTGATACTTTTGAGCCATTCACTATCCATATGTCATTTTTCCCAATGTAATTCGTTGTCTTCACACTTCTCTATCATATTTTAATTGTCGTGTCAGTGTGAATATTTGTAAACCCACCCACCCCACTTGAACCCAAAGACATTTTTCACTAACATCTGTGTGCATTATTAGTGGTTCAGACTTGGTAGATGTGAAATTGTGTTTTTGTAGAATAACAATTGGTTCATTATTCTATGTTTTTTCCAATAAACAATGTTGTTGGTGTGTGAATTGTCCACTGACTATTTGGACACAATGGGTATGCCGGAAAGACTGTATTATCTTTAGGTACGTCCAGCGGAATGCATGAATTATTTAATTTGTTTGGGTTCAAGTGGGGTGGGTAACGGACGCATTGTTATGTGTAGGGTTTCTTTAATATGAGAGTCTTTATCAACTATTTTGTACTTTTCTGGATGACATCATTTCTCTAGACTTCATTGATGTCATACACGACCCCACAACTGTGATGTCACATGATCAAATTGCTCTCTTCATCCCGACTTCCCATAAATATAAGTAAGTTGCAGTTTTATCACGCGTATGGATAACGATGAAGTTTGAATTTAAGGCCCTAAGGTTTAACACTGGTGCCGCCGGTGGTTATTGGGTGGCGGCTATTCCCATTTTATTTAATTTTTTTATTATTAAATTATTAAATTTATTTTTTCTATAACTATCCTACTAATAATTAACAATAATGATATATTGACTAAATTTAGAGCTCAAATGACATGACAATATATTATTTAGAGTTTTTATTGGGACCTAAATGACATGACACCAAATAAAGAAGTTCAAATCAATTACTATGTCATTTGGACTCTAAATCTGATCTCAAAATTTGGTCATTGTAGCATTACTAAATAATTAAATCTATTTTATGTTACATACACCTCGTTTAATAAATAAATTTATTTTATATTTTGTAATAATTATGATTTCATCATTTATCTTATCTCATGAATTTTTTCAGTGAGATACAAGTTAGTATTCCTTCTCAATTTAATTCTTTATTTTATTTTATATTTATGTTATAGATTTTAATTATTTTTGGTATGTTTTTATATCTTTGTCAAGTTTAATAATTTTTTATTTAAAATTTATATATGTATGCTTTCAGATTATTTTTTTTTATCTTGTTTAAATTTTGTATCTATGCTACCTTTTTTTTTCTTGTTCGATTTTGTGTCTGCACTTGATACTTTTTTTTTTTCATGTTCGATTTTTTGTTTTGTGATTTTGCATTTTTTAGTTTTGTTTATTCCTTTAATCTTTGCTTAGTTTTTTTTTCCTTCTTTTTTTTTTGATTTTTTCTTGTTTCGTTCTTTTCTCTTTTTTTTCTTGTATTTTTTTCCTTATTTCATTTTTGGTTGTTTTTTTTTTCTTATTTCAATTTTACTTATTTATTTATTTTTTTTGCTTTGTAAATATATTTATGCATTCAAACTAATTGTATTTCTTCATTATTTTTTTTTTACAATGACTTCTTTCATTATAAGGGTATACATAAAATATGTGGGTTTAACTATTAATGAGATGTTTGTAGCATAAAGTGGATTTAGTTACTAATAAGGTAAGTATAAAAAAGGTGTGCTTAATTGTATAATAATGTAAAAGTAAATGGGGGTGTAAATAGAGATTTGTGGAATAGAAATTGCCCCACCCGTGGTTATTAGGTCAACCAATAACCTCTGTTATATTGGGTTTCAAAACCTAAAATTATTGAATCAAATAACAGGATCTAGGATAGGTAAGTGACCAAGTGAGATCCTCTCTCACTATAGATCATACACAGTTAATTTAAATATGACTCATTATAGATAAGCAAGTCTCCTCATGAATGTATGGTGGGTGCTGTATCAAGGATAAAAATGAGAGGAAAAAATATTAGATGGGATCTAAATTAGTAAGAGATAAACATTCTTAATCTTAAAGAGATAGATTCTCGAACATGAAAGAATTAGTTATTTCCCATTTTTTTGTTGTTATTTTTTTTTTATTCCAATAGTAAGGGGTGTCTAGACCAACATATGTACACATCGACTAATCTTCTCCCAAATCTAGTTAAAAGCAATTCATCCACACTTAGATTAGGGTATTCATGAGAAATAAATCTCTCATAGTCTGGTTCTAAGAGATTGCTAATATTCATATATAGAATATTTGAATTTACAATTCGTCTCTGTTACCAATTAAACTACACATGGGGGTTGTTGAACCATTTTGTTATTATTTAAACTTGCATCACAGATTAAGCTTTGTGTCCCCAATGTTATGCACGTGGGAAAGAGATTAATCATAAAAAATTGGGCCAAGGAAAACGAGCTATATTGTGTATGTAAACACTGCCAACTAGTCCGCAGCTTCATTAAAAAATATATAGCAAGCTGGAATTTTATTTTGTCAGAACTCTGTGAGTTAATATCAAGTCATTGTTATTATTATTATTCTATAATGGATATAGTTTAAATCTTTTGTCATGTTTAACTTCTTGAAATTAAATATGCTTCTTATTAAATGAAGAAACACATGATTGGTTCTTTTTTTTTGGTAAGAATGACTGGTTCCTTAGATAATGCCTTCCCTACATCACATTTGAATTCGTCCACTTGCTTGAGCATGACCATAACAACCAGACCCCACAAAGAAAACCTATCAGTGGAGCCTAGACGGCAGAAAACCACAAACGCTCACAAAGGCCAGCTTGAGCCATGGCCTTATCCTGCACCACAGAGTTGTCGTTAATCGAACACTACTTGCTAATCTCATGGGAGTTAGAAAGAACTCTAAATGGGGCATTACAAGCCACTAGACCACCAACCTTGTGGTGAAGAAAAAAAAATTCCTAAAACAATGAAACAGGTGGAAGTTATAAGGATTAAAGACACTTCAACCATTTTGACAATCCAGGGCTTGAAAGCTCTTATCCTACTTAATATGCTGCAGTCATCACAGTTGATTTTTCTTTTCCTCCCTTTTGGTTTCTGTTAGATCAGGTTATGAGGATGAACAGTGTCTTGTAATGCCTCATAAGGATGATTAATTACAATGCTATGTGACTCGAGCTACTCCACATACGACTTTCAGGAACAAACTACAAAAGTTTCCCACTAGAAGGGGACAAGCTAACTAAAGTTTTGAACCAATGCAGCCTTAGAAAAAAGGGATTTCAACAACAGAACAGTACATCTTATTGAAACGATAGAAAATAGGACTCAACCGAACTGTCTAAAGACAGACTACAACAAAAGAACAGTGCAAATACATTAGTACAACATACTATTGTTCCAGCTACTTCTCCACAATTAGTTTAGCCCTAGCATTGCCTTCATTTATTTGGAACTGATCACCCAAGCCAAGATGAGCCATCAATAACCACACCACACTGATAAGCTGTCCACCACTGCTCAGTTGTGCAGCGTGCGCATTTGCTCTGCAATGACAGGCAGCATAAGACAGCAATTCCACCCAAACTTTGCTCATTATTTCCCATTTGTCGGGTTCACCATCTTTCCCTTCTAACTCCTTCAATTCTTTGGCCAGGAGGCACGCGTCGAACAACACAGATTTGCTTCTATCCCCCTTAACAGTAACAGGTTTTACTTCTGTATTAACAGCAAGGATCTTTCGGCAGGCATCTTTCTGTTGTTCAACCCAATCTAATTTCTCTTTTCCAAAGAATTTCATGACTCGGAGATAACATGGGTAGGCTAAAAGCAGTCCTTGTCCCTGTTCTGCTTTTGCTCCACGAAAGGGTTTCTCAACAGCATCGAAAAATAGAATGGGAGGAAGAATGAAAAATAGAAGAAGATATTTGAAAAAACTTAAAATTACGTAAACGATAAGTTCACAGATATTTGCTTCATTCTGTCTCCCTCTGGAGTTTCCTGTTCCAAAGAACTTCTTGGCCTCAGCACAGGTATCTCGGAATCTTATTTGCCCAATACCTGCCACTGCAGACATCATTGAAGGCTGCATAACTAGAAGATACATCATGTAATCTGAGAGGAGCTTGGAAATTTCACGAAAATCCTTCTTTTGTTCCTCGTTTCCATCCTTGTTTGGAACCTCGTTTCGATCCTTGTTTGGACCCTCTCTATAGCAGAGTTCGGTGGCGATGTGCCACAAAAGAAGGCTCTCATCGTAGTCAACGTCAAGGATCCAAGGGAGGAAGCGGTTGCAATTTTTGACCCGATTTTCAACTCGAAGAATCCAATCACCTCTGGATGAACATATCTCCTTAGCAGTTTCTAAATCATCTGCTATCTCAGATTTTGCTAACAACTCACTGAAGATGTGTTCTCTTAATTCATCATTAAATGGCTTGCTTCCCACATACTTCAACCCATCAAGAAAGTTGCTAAGGCCCAAATAGCCAACCAATTTGTCTTTCACTTCCCGGCGTGGATGCAAACAGTAATATATCAAGTTGTAAGTTGAAATAGACTCAGACCACCTGCGTCTCTTGAAATGCAATAACCAACCAAAACAGCCGAGAAGATATTTTATTGGGTTTTTGCCAGTGTTAGTTTCAAGTAATTTATATAGTGCAACAAAAGTCCTATCGGAGATTAGAAACATGAGGAGAGCAATGGCATCTAAGGCAATGGCACCAAGTAGCAGGGTGTAAGTAATCCCAATATCAACCTGTTTGAAAGTGTGCTTCTTCTCGTAAAAGAAGAGTGCAAGGGCTGAAGCAACTGAACCGAATGAAAATAACCGACAAATGAATCCTAATGTACTATGCACCACACTGACCTTGGTGTAGAGGACTTCATAGATGAAATTGAGTTCAACCTCTACCACTTTAAAAGCATCTTTTGCTGATCTCTCGAGGAAGAACTCCCGGCTTTGATTGCGCTCACGGAAGCTGAATATGAGATCAACAATTAGCCCCTTGAAAGTTTCGAAAAATCGGTAAGCATGGTGCACCATCTCCAAATCTGTCAATGGACCTTCTTTGACTTTATTGACAGCTTTGGTTTCTCTATCAGGTTCTGGAAGCATTTCTATCCGTGTTGGTAGCCTTGCCTCTTTCTTGGAGGAGTATTCATCCATGAGCTTGGCATAGTTAGGCCCAGGGTTAGGCTCTGTATTCATGGAGTCTCGGAAGCTATCCATGCTTGCGAGATATAGTGACCGCGTCCGCTCAGCATATTTGATGACTCCAGCAAAAAGCATGAGAGTTGTTGGGATCCATAGCTTGTTTTCGGGAAGTGATTGAAAGAAAACATAGACAGCGGCAAGGCACTGTACTAATAGCCCAAGCAGATGCCTCAGCCACAGCTCATTATCCTCCAAAGCAAAAGCAGTTATACTATCAGGGCCACCAAGGTGCACCAGAAGAAAAGGAGCCCAAAATGCCAGAAGGTCAGTATTGTTATCATCAGAACCAGTTGATTTGCCTTGGCTGCTGGAGATGAGTCCCACTGCAAAGGCAGCAGCCCAATCGGCGAGCAAGTATGCTGACCAAAGAGGCATGATTATCCAACCGCTGGCCGTTCGCTTTCTCCAGGGGGCAAACAAAATTAAAAAGGTCTGCAGTGAGAGGCTTAAGAGAATGAAGCACCGGAGATCCCATGTCTCCCACAGATGCTTCCAGTGCTGAGGGATTGGGATTTCCATACCTTCCTCTGATCTCCTTCTACCAAGGTGAAGCAAAAACGTTGTTGGGTCTCAAGTGTTTAATGAGCACAAGCACAATTCACACGCAGACTGGGTCATATAATTATTCTTTGTTAGAGTGAATGTATGGTGGCTAATAGATACGCCCATCGCCATCTTGCAAAATGTCAAATGAATATATAGGATTCCTCTTCTCCTTTTTCTCTGATAGTTCCTGAATTTGTTATTAAAGTCCCCATTGACAAATTAAATTAAAAGTTTCCAGGATGGCACTTTTATATCTAAATTCCTCGATAATTGCATAGTGAAGATGGGGGTGGTATCTGGGGAGCACAACAAATGATACTACCAGAAAATACAAATCAAAATAAAGATGGGCTTTCTCCTTTGATGAATTTACCAGGTACAACCAAAAGAAACACTACCAGTTGCCATACAGAATCTCTATTCAGAAATGGATAAAACATCCAAGAGACAATTGAATCAGAGCTTAAAATACAAGGTACAGCTACACATTGTTTTGATGCATATTTTTGGAGTAAAATACATATAGTTGACATTTGAAAGCAGGTCAAGTGGGATGCACAGGATTTTGTAATGCCAGGGCATGAGGAATTCAAAGAGACACAACCATAATGCCAGGATTTTGGATTTTGCTAGGCATTAAAGCACTTACAACCTACTGTGGGCACCCCAATTTAGGTCCATGACCCAACTCGATATCCAATAATATCCTATCTTACATGGTAGGGTACGGGTGTATCTCTTTCAATCTTTCATCTACAATAAAGTCAGTTTGATAGTGGCTAATGACCCTTGCGAACGATGAGCACAACTACAATTTTGGGAGCTCTACCCTAGGAACTTGGCCAAAGCCAGCATAGAGTAATAAACCTAAAAGAAATGGTGTCCCCCTCATTATGCACATCACCACTTCATACCTAGAAATAGCCACATAAACCTCATGTGGTTTGTAGATTAAAACTCTTTGTTAATGCTGTTAACGGTATGATTAAAATAACATTAATACCCCTCTTTCTTTACTTCTTCTTCCTCCAGCAAATCCAGTCCCATTTTACTCATCTCTAAAATCCAATTAAACATATAAAAACTGCTTAAACAATCAAATTGGGGATAAAACAAAACCCAAAAATCTCATGAAACAAAAAAAATCCAAATTTGAGTTGCCAACATTTGCTGCAAACATACATTAGTTTATATGCCCTTTGAACTCGTGATTGTTTCATGAATTTGGAAACCATGTGTCACCGATAAAACCAATTCAATCGTTTTAATCAAAATATTTTTTTGAGACTCAAAACTTAAAATCTCAAGATAATAATTTTATAGACTTTTCTCATCCGACTGCCCCTGTGACTTTAAGTTGTCCTTTAGGGGGTTGTCTAGTGGAAGAGTTGCAATTTTAGCTCAGAGATCATATAATTTTTTTTTCTTTGAAACCCAAATGTCAAACGATTAAAGCACGAGAAATTGTGTATATCGAACTTTCATCAGATCCTGAATTATGAGAGTCTCGTGTGTTGGATTCTGAGCTTACCGTAATTTGTGTTCTGCCTGATGTTTGGCGCAATATCTATGAAGAGGCTGGACCATGGTAGGCTCTGTTGAAACTGGGCCCAAAGTAAACAAGCAGAGAGGGGGGTATTTCGTAGTCTAAGCCCAACATTCCACCAAAAGCTTGGGACAGCTTGAAACAAAGCCCACAATTACTTCACTGTTCTAAAAGAATGGTGTTAATCGAATGGAGCCTTCCAAATTTTGGTATGCTCAGACTTGGCTCAAATTTTTTAAGACCTGTTCAAGCTCGATCATCGAGCCCAAATTTCTGTTCAAGCTCAGCTTGACATGAGGTTGAACCGAGCTCGAGCCTAGTGTTAATCGAGATAAGTTATTCAAACTCAGTTCACATAGGACTCGACTCGATTTGACTTTAAATTGCGTTCTAAATAAGCTAAATTTGATTAATTTTTTAAAATCATTTAAAAAAATAAATTTAAAAAGATTCGTCTAAAACTCACTAAACTCAGCTCATTTATATATAAAATACTCTAAACTACTCGAATTTAACTCATTTCGGCCTGGGCTTGGGCTTACCTTATTTTTTAAACAAACTAAACTTTAACATTTTTTTAAAACTTGTAACTTGTCAACTCAAACTTACAAAACTTGGTTCGATTAACACCCTACTCTAACACCCTACTCTAAGGCCAAGGAAGGCATCTTATAATTTTAATTGATCAACTCAATATCAAATAATTCAGAATGAATGTAGATATATATTATGAGCAATATTATTAAGATTTAAGTTACTGACCTAATTTGCTGACATAATTTACTATGACCTTTGAATTGACTGTAGAGCCCATTAAACATTAAAATTTAATATTAATTCAATGATTTTACTGAAACCGCATTATTATGTCGATAAATTAAATCAGATTTTTTAGTACAAATAGTATTACTCATAAATTATTCAAAAGGAAACATCCTACAGTTCAATCCCCCCGCCGATATCACACACACACACACACATATATATATATATATAGAGAGAGAGAGAGAGGACTCCAACTCATTTACTAAACCTGTCATGAACAAATCAAGCAAAACCCAGGGTTATATTCGCAATTAAACCCTCTGATACAACTGAAATCATCCTTTTCTAGCTTCCTTGCCATGTATGACTATAACAACACCTTCCCCAAAAGAGATTTAACACCTGGAGCTTCAACATTTAGGTCAGGATTATAATGCCAGGACGATGACCTGAATAAATTCTATGCAATCTTATCATACATTAGCACAGAGAAAAAAAAAAAAAAAGAAATCGAAATGTACCGGGGCAAAAGCAAGACTGAATCAAAGAATGTAACGTCTATATTTCTTTGTTCAGTTGCTCCATTCTTTCCTGTATTAGCCTGTTAGTTCTGAGGCTTGAGTGAACAGTATTACCAAGTGGGATATAATTAATCACAGTGCAAAACTTCCGCTTTAACAAAACTTTGTGACAAGAAACATCTAAGAGCCACTTAAAAAGGTTCAAAAATATACCTAAGACAATGTCTTTTCTTGAGTGCTCTATATTGTCAAAAATTGTATTGCATTAGCAACAACGGTCAAGTACTTTCTCATGGCGCCATGAGCCCTTCAATCGTGTAGGAAAGTGATTTTGCCCAGTCAGCTTTGAGTAAGAATGTCCGTAGGGTATGCATTATGTCAAAATCTGGATCAAGCCTCCGCTGCCAACCCTACAAACATATAACCAGCATTATTAAGAGCAGGAACACCAAAAAAAATGTTGAGAAGCATGTAATGTAATTTTGTCAAGAAACAGGATATGTAGTCACTAATAGAAGTGGTTTAATGACAATGCTGTTGCGACACACTTAAGCAGGTATAGCATTGGTATTCGTGTTTTTCTTCATCTTCATTACATTAATTCTCTTCTTTCTACAGATATCTTCGTTCTTATCTTCATATTTTCTCCACCAAGGAAAGGAAAAACCCACTTCAGCCTACATCGAAAAGATTAGGATGGCAATCTAAAAAAAAAATTATGTTACATCATCCAAGTTTTCATGGTATTCAAAGAGTTTCAGGGTCAATGATATAGATCCTATCGCCCCACACACAACTAAACATCTTTCACATCGCTTTGTCCATATCTTTTTCAAACATCCACCTCTCTGCAGATCGTGTTTCAGCATTGTCAAACCATTTCAGTCAAATTTATTGGAGTTCCCACCTATGCAAGTGACTTGGAAAGCCACTCTGAGCACTCCCCCCCCCCCCCCCCACCTCTCTCTTCCAAAACCCAAAATACAGAAAATAACAAAAACACAAACACCACACAGCAGAAGCAGAAAAGAAATAAAAACACAAACATCTGGAGCTTATTGTTAATAATTTTTAAAACTTCTTCAAAAAATGACAAAAAGAAGGGACAAAAAAGGACAAGGAATTGTCAGAGACTTGTACAGTTTGGTGCATGTGCATTTGTAGAATTTGCATGCATTCAACTAATTTTCCACCATTTTCTTCGGCTGTTGTCTACATATAAACATGTCCATGCCATGCCGTGTCAGCAAGTATAAGGAAGGGTGAAAAGAAGGATCCAGGTGAAATAACTCAGGAATATACAGAGGACAAGTTATAGTTATTCCACTAAATACTCAACATTAGTGGACACTGGTGTTGGCCACGAGGGAGGGACAGTAAGACGTGTCACAAATATTCTTCTCAGTCAGTCTATGACTCCATGATATGGGTGTATCATACTTCAGCTGGCATAGCTGAAAGAAGAGATTAAGAAACTACCTCAACAACCATAGTCGTAACCATCACAGTGCAGACATTGCCATCAATGTTGACTTTATGACGCCGAACTTGCTCTAGTAAATGGTGCATGCAATCAGCAGGATGGACCAAATCACCTTCTGGAGTACCCCAAAAATCGAACGACTCTTTCACCTCCTGTCAAAGCAAGGTGATTACAAACTAAACAAGAAAAAATCATTAACAGTACATATTCTATGGCAAATACAGTGAGCTATAAAAATGTCCCGTGCCCAGGATGCAATGTCCTGGAGCACACATGAACGGTACAAAAAAACTGCAACCACCACTATGTACACCTCCGAGCAAGCAAATATATAGCCTCAAAAGAATCACAAATTTTTAAGATACAAAATGCCAGAATAGCTTAACTAAGCATAAGAATATTGGAAGTCAAAAATTAACGACTATATATACCTGTTTATTTTAAACAGGAACTTTGCATCCTATGCAGCTAAACCGCCACAACTTCATAGTTCTTTGATAAATAATAATACAATTGAGGCCTTCCTCCTCCTCCTTCCCTTCAAAAATTCTACAATTCAGTCTCCATCTGACCACCCAAGAAATGGCCAAAAAATACACATCTCGACAACAAGGACGCTTTTTCGCACTCCCAAAATCAACCAAAACTTTACCACAAGTAGGGACACATGATCACAAGGTGTTACCAACATCAAATGTGCCTCCCACAAAAGCTTATGCTAACAAGAAATTAGCAATAAGACAATGAAGGAACAAGTGATACTTTCCTTACCCAAAACACACAAATTCGGAGAGAGCATAAATGTTAGATATTCTCGTTTGAAACAAATCATAAGTATTCATCTTACCATGAGTAATTATCCAAACAAGCACCCGCACCTTAATAGCCACTCTAGCCATCCAATCATCGAGGTTCAATCATCAATCAAATTTTGAAAATAGGGACCACAAAAGAAATTTCTAGAATAATCAAGAGACCAAACCCTTTAATCCCCAACCGACAAATGCAAAGAGACCGAATTAAGCAAAGAAAGAAGGGTAGCCAACTCCAAAGTTTCCCTATCATAAAGATTACAGAAATAATTGAAAAATTATTCATTGAGGTTCAAAGAATGAATAATTAGAATCATCAATCAAATGTTGAAAATAGGAACCACAAGACATTTGTAGAAGAATCAAGAGACCAAACCCTTTAATCCCTAACTGACAAACCCAAAGTAAGTGATCTTCTTGATGGTAACCAAGTTAACACAAAACCTCACAACAGTCCATACCAAAAGAGGGACTAAACAACATCATCTGAGTATCCATACCCAAATAATTAAGTGGCTATCATGTTACCTTAATGAAAGCCTCTGGATTAGGGCAGTTCTGTTGCTTTGATAATTTCAGCGTGCATTCTGCTGCAGTATGGCCGTCTCGACGAGTAACAGCCTTAAAAAAATCCAGTAAATTTACTCGATCATTCTTGGAAAGTTCAGCAGTCATGCCTACGTCAAGGAAAACAATATGAGGCTTTGATTTGAAGAGCCGTTTCCGTGAAGATTTGTTCTGAGATACACGGACAAGGATGTTTCCAGGATGCATGTCAGCATGAATAAAGTTGTCCACCTGAAGTAGACAAATCACATGTCAGATGCCAAAACTATTTCTTCTTGATTTTTCCAAGACCTATTCGTTATTATTTACAAGTGGAAGACAGAGCAGTAACAAATAACTCAAGAACCATGGATATCAAGATGATGAAAAGTCAACAGGGTATAAACACATCGTTGAAAACGCAGTTTAGCAATACCATGTTAAATTCACATCTCAGATGAACAGATGAATGAAAAATGACAAAAAATGTTCCTACCTTTGGCAGAGCTTCTGAATTTAGGCGTTTAATTGGTAAAAACATCTTATTTGACACATCCCAAGCAGCCCATAAAAATACAACTGTTAGTCAATGAAGTATCTAACATCATTACCCTTATCTTTTAAAGCAATAGCAGTACCATTCTGGCATTGATAAGAGGCCCAATGCCATTGCAGCCATGGTTCAAATATTGGCCGGTAGCAATATGACTCAGCTGCTTTCAGATCGGCATGTTCCGATTTGATACCATTCTGTGTTCTTTGTAAACCACAAGTCTTAGGCAGCTCAACTGCGTCTCTGAGTCAGTCTCCGGTTGTTCATCGTAACCGAATTAGCCGATACAATTTCACGACACCACGATAAATCTCTTTTCATGTTCTAATACTTTTTTATGCAATATTCTGTTATCATCTGATGTTGTTCCGTTATATAGCGTCAGATGCATCTCAATACCATCCGAGTCAATAGCCAATAACACGGACTTGAACCATGATTGTGTCATAAGCTAGCATATGCAACATGCAAGCACCAATTGATAGAAGTCATAAAAAGAAGTAAGCAAATACAAATTTAAAAATAGATATATTACCAGAAGCATCTTCAGAAGTGCATGAGTCCCAATGTGGGCAAGTGCACTTTTAATTTTCTCATGACCCTCAAGCTCCTCAAGATAGCGTGAGACACATTCCCCTTGCTCAAAAGTTTCCACCAAGACAGCAGGATGTACAAGTGGATATACAGGCTTTGGAAATGAAACATCCCTCCAACTGCGAAAATTATAAATGAAACGGCTCAAATGGGCAGCTTCCCTTGCAAGATCAACCTGAGACATCATAAAAACCGCAAACTGCAGGACACTTTCGTCCAATCTCAACCACTTCAGAGTAGGTATGGATCTTGAGATCTTTGCTATTAGATCAACTATCTCAAAATCTCTTCTTATTGATTCACCAACTCCAGGATGCCTAACCTTTACGGCAACTAACATAGGCTTGATCTCTCTATCACAGTATTGGTACCTCAAAGAAGCTCGATGTACTTGGGCAATACTTCCAGATGCTACTGGTGCCTCTTCAAAATCTTCAAAAATTTCAGAAAGCTTACGACCAAATGCTCTTTCAATGGTCTTTTTTGTATAGGAAAAGCTGTGTTCAGGAGCTTGGGTGTGAAGCTTTGAAAGCTCGGTACATAAATCTCGAGGAAAGAGATCCGGCCGTGTAGCTGCCCACTGGCCCCATTTTATAAATGCTGGACCTGCTCTTTCCAATGTCTGATGAACAACCTGAAGCCACATTTTTCGAAACTGAGGTCCAAGACAATCAGCAAATGGAGCCATTGCTATGCTAGGTGAGAATAAAACACCTAAATAAAGAGCTCTCAGCAACAAGATTACACCTTCCAGTACTGAAAGAATTAATGTGATAAAAAAAGCATGCCTTTCTTCTGCACGCAGATACAAAGCATTTGGTGGATGTATGGGATCTGTATTAGCTGATCTTTGTGCCAATGCTACATTTCCACACGTCAAGGCAACTACACCAGGAACAACCACATAAGAGCGGCTCACTGCCAAGCTAACTGCTTGGGCAATCCTATCAATGGGGGAAAAAGTTCGACCATTGTGAGAAGGCCTCTGGGAAAGCCTCTTCCAAGCAACTTGGGCTTGATATGCTGTAGTGTTACTCGTTGGGAGGCCAGAAAATTTCTTGGGAAAAGTGCTATCACGAAATACATCCTTGACTTTGCACACCATGAATGAAGCATATCTCCTACTTGGGAGCATATGTTGCGAGTATAACCTGTATTGAGAGGAGTATAGCCCACCTGTAACCACTGGCCCATATTTCCTTCCATCTAAATAAGTGCTCCTTTGGTTTGTGTAAATGGATTGCGCAACTCTCCTAATGTTTCCAAGTGTCAAAAATCTGCATTTCAAACAATGTCATCAATCACCACCAATAACATTGTTTGTGGCATTGGTACTCTGCCTTAATTTGAACGGTATAAACAAATTCATTGCACTGAATACTCACAATATCAAAACACTACAGCAATGTGGTTCCCTCACAATGGAGTAAATACCTAATATAATGGTAACATCATCTCATCATTGTCATCTGATACCAACAACCCATTAGAAATACCACATAGACCTAGTGAAACCCAGTTATCCAGTTACTACCAAGAACCACCATTATAATACAATCCTGTTTCCCATCCAAAAAAAATCCCCAAAAACCACCAGATCCAAGTAGAACCAACAAGTAATAATTACCACAGTAGATTAAGTGGGGTTCATTAGGCCTATGTTGTGAATCCTAATTAATAATATCACAATGATGATGTGATATTGCCATTGTATTGAATAGCTTATCCTCAAGATGATAAACTCCTTCTCATTCAAAAATGTATATAGCAGAACAACCACATAAACTAACACTACATGTTTAAGAGGGTGTATTGTACGTATTCCTGACCCAACTATACACTTTGCCACATAGCTTCTTTTGAGTTCAACAAACATACAATGAAGTCAGCTTCCCATAGCTCTAATCCAACTCTTGCTAGACAAACCGCCCAAAAAATATCCAGATAATAGTTCCCCCCCTTCTCGTTTAGACTCCGATGACCATATGTCTCACTAAATCGTAACCACCTTTGAAAATTTCAGGACTTATTTCAAGGTAAATTTGGGTCTGATTCTAGAAGAAATTGCCCAAAAAAAGGAATATTTTACTTTCGTTTAACGAAAAATTACTTGCAAAAGCTATAAAATATAGAATACTCAACGTTGCGAAATTCGACCAAACCCATGAATCAAGATGCAATTGCAGTCCCAAAAACGTTACCCTAATAACTTGTGGCTCATACTCTTAAACCCAGTACACATTATAAGGAGAGGAAAAAAACCAGATAATCAAGACCCAGAAAAGAAGAAAATAAAAGGCAAGAACATAAACAAGATAGAAAGGATCGCTACGGACCTAGACATGACGATGATGGGTTTTCACAGGAATTGGTTAGGACCAACTTGCGCGGGAGGAGTATGATTGTTCTTGCAAGCATTTTCTACGGTTTGTCGGCGAAGACGACGAACGAACCAGATCAAAATGGCTATTACCAAAACAGAAAAATCAATATGCGCCGCCACCGCCTCTGTTCAGCTTCATCGTTTGTTGGTAAGTCAAGGCGGCGCCATAGAAGGGGGAGCGGAGGATCCGACCGCTGAGCCCCTGGTTGGGGTTCAATGCCTCAATTGAACGAATAATTCAAAGTTGGGCCTCACGATTTTGCGAGAGAGGAGATTAGTCTTTTCTTGTCGATGAAGAAAGTAAAAGTATTGTTACCGAACTAAACTAAACCTTATATCTCAAATAATTGAGCTCTGCTAAAAGTATATATATACATACACACACAGAGATAAATATATATATATATATAAATTCTATTTTACTCCCTCGTAGTTTACCCTAATTACACATAACCTCCCTAGTGTCTAAAAATAGTACATGATCCATTGTGATCTGTGGATAAAGATAAACAATTAACTCTGTTAGCAGAAAATAAAAATAACCTTAATACCCTTCCTCATTCTTCATCAACGGTGATTATATCTTCTACACCAAGATCCAAACTACATATCTCCATTCCTTTCTTCATATTTAGGGCTCTTAAACAAGTAAAGCTTGAATATTTTTTAAAATTTGTTTATGTGTAAATAGTCAAACGAGCCCTTATTTATGTATAAATGCAACTCGATTCAGACTCAAATTCAGCTCGATTAACACCTCTATTCCTATTCTAACTCAAACACAAAATGCTATCACCAATATGTCACCATTTTCAAAACATTTGGTAATATCCATTTGAGATATGGTTCCTTGGTTCTCATTGGGTAAGTAAACATGGCAGTGGACCGGAAAAAAACGGATATTAGTCCAAATTTGTCTCATTTGGGCCGAGGATGGATTATACGTATTGAACGATGGACGTATACGGGAATACTCGTATAAACCCGTGCAGGGATGAAGGTGAGGATGGACTTACCCTTACCCCCGCCTCGTCCCCGTTCTCATTACCTGTTAAAAAAAATGTATATATATATAAAAATAAATAAATAAACTCCCAATTAAAGCCCAAGGCCTAACTTACTCATCTTCCTCAATCAACGCCGCCACCTGAGTATGGCAACAGGTGTTTGATGGGCATGGTGGTTCTAATGCAGCATCATTTATTAGAAAGACTATTCTCAAGTTTATAGTCGAGGACTCCCATTTTCTTGTTTGTCTGGAGAAGGCAATTAAGACTGCTTTTGTCAAAGCTAATCGTGCATTTGCAAATGATAGTTCTCTTGACATCTCCTCTGGAACCACTACACTGACTGCTCTGATTTTTGGAAGGTAAATGAACCACAACAGTTTGTGTTTTCAAATTTTAATTTGTAGTAGTTTTCAATATGATGTAGACAATGGCAATGCTATATGCTATCATCAAAATAATTCTTAGAAATTGGGTTTAGGCTTAGGTTTGGGCCTGAGTTTGGGCTTGGGCTTGGGCTTTGGCTTGGGTGGGTACGAAAGAAGCGAAGACGGAGATTATAAATTTACTCGTAGACGGGGATGAGGATGAAAATTATACCCATTAGCGGGGATGGACCAAGGATGGACAAAAAAATTTTAAGCGGGTACGAGGATGAAGACTATACCCCGGCCCCCCGCTTCAGTACATTGACATCCCTAGGTAAGAGGGATGGGTGCTGGTCATGGCTTGTGGTTGCAATTGTTGATGAAAATAGGAGATGGGTAGTCATTGGTGGTCGCAATTATTGATGGTTACCAAAATTGGTTTGTCGCAGGCTATTGTTATTTGTTGTTTGTTGTTGATTGGGAAGTGGCTGAGCGTGGCTATAACTGTTGAGCCTTTTTGTGGAGTCTAATTTGTGTGTTGATCGGGATGATGACTTGACCCGAAATAATGTTGTGTGATTTTTAATGAGAAATTTTTTTGAGATTTAGTCCATTGAACGAAAGCTTAGGCCGATAGGCTCAAGCCGCAGCACTTATGGACAAGCCTCGTGGGAGTTCAGGGGCAACGCCCCTAGGAAAAAAATTTTGGGTCTATTTTGTACTCTAGTGCGTAAGACATATAAAAATCGCTACTTTGGTGTTTAGAGTTTGATCGTAACTGTATAGTCGTTCTCTGTATTCCTTTCCCTCAATAATGAAATTCCTGTCGCTTCGTGGACATAGGCAAATTGTCGAACCACGTAAAATTTATGTGTTTTATTCTTTCTTATTTCTTATTGTTTTATATTCTTTGTTTGTTCTTCAAATGTGTGTGGTTGCCTATTGGTTTAAAGCGTATTAAATCCCAACAATAACGGTGCATATTAATTCACAAATTATTTGGGATTATGTGTTATTTTTAGACTTTAGGGGGTTATGTGCATCCAAAGTACATTACACCGGGTAAAATAAAGTTTGGCCTTTCCTTTATTTATAACTTTTTGTAAAAGATGCTCACCCAAAAAAATACTTTTTGTGAAAAATTAATATTTTGTTACATTGCAAATTACAGTTTAACTCCCTCAACTTTGACTTTTTTTATATTTCTCTTCAACTATTATATTTTTTTCATTACATCTTAAATTATATGATAAGTTTCACATTATTCCAATAATTAAGGTTCATTAGTTGTTGATTTAATCAATTTTTGGTTTGTCGAAGATCGATAACAAGAAACCACACTTCACGAGTTAACTCCATTTTGAAGTGTTAATGAATACTAAATTATCGGGTTTGAGTAATTTATGATTGATCGGGTATGATCAATAAGTTCGATTGTCAATCATAACTAATTTACTTACCCAAAAAGTGTACTAAATTTACTTATCAAATCAATGTGAATTATTACATCAGTAGGTCTCATATAAAAAAATTTTTAGATGAAACTTACTAAGCCAATGACTCACATTAATTTGACAAATAACAATATTTTGGTAAACATATCGTCACGATGATGATGACAACGATATCGATGTGATAATAGTGACAAAAAATTAGTCTTGCGATGTGTTTGGTATTATGGAGTAAGCCTTAAAAATGAAATATCCATTACTCGGTCACCAAATTATATCTTTGTCCAATTTCATTCTATTCTAGTAAAAAATTACTTTCTCCAAACATTTGAATGGCTTGCGCATGCCATTCTAGCATTTACTCCTAGTTGGTTGCCAAACATCAGAATGGTATACAGTTTTTATTTTGGATTCTTTATGAGAATGAATAATTTAGTTGGTGTACCTTCACTAATCATTAATACCTTTAACATGATAAAAATTATATTTTTTTATAATTAATCACAATATTTTAGGATCGATTATAACAATTTGAAGTATAACTTAAAGTCTCAAGGGTTTAACTTACCATAAAACCTTGTACTCTCTTTTTTTTACTGTTCAAGTGTTTGGGTTAGCGTATGAGCAATATGACTAATCCACACCTCTTGTAGTTAGCTTTAAATTCAATGACACTCAACCTCGATTCTGAAATTTCAGTGTACACCTTCTGGTTTATACTTTTAAATCAATGACACCCTCTTAACAGTAACTTTTACCTCTACCAGTTAATAAAGTAATGATTTGACTAAATATTTTGTGAAAATACCAAAATTATCCTTTGTTATGTAAATAGACTAAAATGCTCACAATCCTTTCCTCATTACATTTGTCCTAACCAGCCAACAAGCGTGATTTCTATTTTAATTTCTATCACTATATTATCCTAATTTTAAATTTGTTTGAATACATCAAATTACCCTTTGTTATACAAATAAATTTTTCATAATTTAATGAATTCAATACAAAATAGGAATATTTTGTAAAATCAGGAACTATACCATGAAGTGAATGTAGTAAATATATTTTGCATAAACATAATGCATGATTATTCAACATGAAATTTTCAGTAATGGGGAAATATTACCATGAAGTGAATGGTACCAAGTGTATTGATTTTTGTAAAATCACACGGACACGAAAGATAGGATTTTACACATAGTGTCAAATGGTAAATTTTGAAATTTCTGATTCAGTTCTGGTACCTTTGCAAATTAATGATTATTGTCCACATCTTTTAGGGGCTATTGTATTTTGTCATAATCGATCGTTAATAACAAAAAAAAAAATTGCATGTTTCATTAATTGTTACTTGCAAATAAGAGGTGAAACATCTTATTACATTAACACAAATCAGATAAATAAATGATCATATCAGTGCATGTCCAAATTTGTCAACTAGAGGAATAAAATGAGTTTAACACGGATGAAAATCCCCTTAATAAGAAAACTATTTATCCATCGGCTGCTACGACCATCTCTATTATACAACCACAACGTCGCTAATGGTATCGGATAATCATGTCCAAATTTGTTAAGAAAACCTGTTCAAGCAACTGTTCGCGAATGATATTTTGTACCTTGTTAGACCACATACGCCTCGCTGGTGCAATCGTAGTTTTATCTTGCGTCGACATTATTATGTTTGTTTTTTAGGTCCCAATAACTTTACCCTAAAACTTTTGCTTTTTATGCAAAAAGTAAAACTTCGTAATATTTACTTTTTTGTTTTACAAAAAGTTCTTTCAAAAAAATATTACTAAACAGAGGCAAGACTCTGCCAACCTTCCGTACTTCAATCCCAACTTAGAGCATCTCCAAACCAATTAGAATCATATCTTTTTTGTGTTTTGACCATCATAAACTTCTATTCATACTTATCCATCTCTAGGTATATTGTGAACCTTATCAAAAATCACAATTTTTTTGTGATTTACTCTTTCAAAATCATATATTTTTTTCCTCTTTTAGCCATCATAAACATTCATTCATAGGGTGGGGCTATTCTCACTCCACAAATCTCCCTTCTCATCCCATTAAAGTATAAATCATAAAACTACTAAATTCACTCCATCTACACCAACCCCACTAATAAGTAACTACACCCCATTTTATACTCACTCCATTAACAACTAAACTTATTCCAATCTTTACTTTTAGGGTTTTGTTTTCTATACTCCATCTCACACCATCTATAGGGAGGCTTGATGATCTTTTTCTTTTCCTTTTCAAGAAACTTAGCTTCAAACCTTCAATGGAGATTTTAAGAGATTGCTTTCTATATATTGAAAAATTGCGTGTAAAGAAGATCTTTTTTTCTACGAATTCCTTCAACCGACGATTAAGAGACGAAGAAAGAGAACCGCATAGTGGAATCAAAGCATTATTCTGACAATAAGATTGGAAAAAATAATGATCAAACGGCGACAATTGAAGCAAATTTGCATGAAAGAAATCCAGATGGAATCCAATTGAGTATATTTTATGTATAGATAGTGTGAGATGGACATAAAAAAAAACCCTAAAGTTGAACATGTAGATAAGTTTTGTTATTAATGGGGTGGGTCTAAAATGAGGTGAATTTAGTAACTAGTGGGGTGGGTGTAGAGTAGGGTGAACTTAGTAACTAGTGGGGTAGGTATAAAAAGGGTAAACTTAGTAGTTTTATGATTAATAGTTTACTAGGGTGAGAACGGAGATTTGTAGGGTAAAAATAACCTCACCCTTATTCATATGGATCGATCTTCAAGTTTCAAATAAGATAGCAATTTTCTTGAGAAAGATGCAAAACAATAACAAAGCAACAAACATGACCTTTGATGGCTAGCCTTAATTCAAGGGACTAGTTGGCACAAACTTGGATACCCTATAACAAAACAAAAAATAAATAAATAAATAAATAAACTTGCCCTCAAAAGGTCTTCTGGGTTCTGACGACGGTTTACCTTCACAACCCTCTCGAAATTATCATTATCATAAAATTTTTAGTTGTATTTATTTTTAATACAATTGAGACAATTAGTTAAGTTTTTGTCAAATTAATTAGATGCAAAAAAAAAAAAAATTTGGAATAAAATTTAAAATTAATTCATCAAATAATTAATAGTTGAGATTCAATTTTAATATAAAATTACTCTAAGGACAATTGAAATTTATCAAGTCTCAGCTAAATAAGAAAAGTCGACTAAAACAAGATTAGGAGTGTGTGTGTGCTCGCATATCACAAACATATCCTAAACAATTTTACACACTAAATATGTAGGTTTTGGATAAATTACACTTTATCTCCTTAAATAATACTTTTTTTTTTCTACAAGGTATTCAAGTTTGCGCTGACTACTTCCTCAAGCTCTAAGTCGACCACCGTAACTTGAGTTAGTTTAAAGACATATTTCTTTAAAAACAAAAATGGTTGGCGAAGGCGTGAGAAGTATCAAACTTAAGACTGCTTGTTTGCAAGATGACAAGTTTGACCACTAGACCACTCCTAAGGATTTCCTTAAGCAAT